TGTAATTAGATTCATAATTACACCTTAATCCACCTTTAAACGTAGTCACACCACTAAACCTGTGCTTAAACTTTCCAGCCTGATCTCAAGAGAAAACAAAAATATTTCAGTTTAGTCAGTTTAGTGGCTAATTCATCTGAATTTGTATGAGTTCAGTCAAATGAAAGCATCCGACAACCAACCCCACCCCTAAACCCAACTGTCATTGTGGGATGAGCAAATTACTAAATTGCACAAATTAGATCATGCAAATTTAAATGAATCAGCCACTAAATCAATAAGTTACAAATTGCCGTGAGATCGTGTTGAACATTCCCATATCTCACTCCAATAACACTATGAGTATTGCGCAATACAAAATTAACAGACAAACTCCCGATTGTGTGATGCAAGTACAGTAAAGACCACTTAAAATAAAGAAGGACCAAACATTTGATATCAAACATTTCATATACTTGCCACAAATGTTTTTTTCTCGCTTTGGATGCCTGATCAGTGTTGATTATAGTCTTTGGATGAAACTTTTTTTATCTTCTATTTTTACTATTTTCTTTTTTTCTGAAGTCTGACGAATTGCGATTTATCTTTGCAGTCAAAATTGTTAGCCCTGTGATTTGTTTATCTTCAAATATTTCTGGAATTATGTCTAAGAGGAAGGAATTTTTCACAGCTGCGGCTCAAATCATAGGTCTTATTGCTGTGAGGTGACAGCCCTACCCACTGCGCCACCCTTACTGACATCATGGCCAAGATAAAAAAATAAAAAAATAAATAAATCAGTTATCAGAAATGAGTTATTAAAACTATTATGTTTAGAATAAAATAATAAATAAACTATTATGTTTGTGTTAAACAAATCTTCTTTCCTTTAAACAGAAATTCGGGAAAAGAATATACAGGGGGGCTAATAATTCAGGAAGGCTAATAATTCTGACTTCAACATGTTTCTCTATGTTAGAAAACCACAAGAGGGCAAGCAAACAGTGACAGGATTTTCATTTTCACTCCAACTACTCCACCAGTAACCTCTGAGCAATGGCGTTCTCCTTCGGGAACTTTGCTCTCGGGGGTTTTCACGCACGATAAATTGCCAACGAATCCAAAAAAAGCAGTTTGACAGAGAACAAGCGCTGTAATAAACAATAGCAAATATACAAGCTCTGTGTAGCGCCCGTCCCCTTAAGAAGCGTCCCGTGACTGATGTCCAGAGCAAATTACAGAGCCGAGAGGTGAGCGATTTTACAGCACCTCGATCTCTCAGAAGGACAGAGGCCTCGTCTGTTTGGCTTCTCCGCAAATCAGCAGCCTGTTATTTAGAGGCTCTGCGCTGGCACCCGTATTGATGACACCGGACAGCGAGGAGAGAACATGCGCAAATCAGCAAAGATGTGTTAAATTGCCCCTCTTATCAGATAAATGTGTTGTGTGTGGGGCGTTTGGAGACGATGGCCCAGAATCTGCCAGCTGATCTCCTGCTGGCTCCTGTTTTACCGCAGCTGGGTTTTTTTTCTTCCAGATTCTCAATTGTCTTTGAGTTATTGTTGGGTCATGCTGGATTTGTTTGCACATCTGCAAATGTAGAGTGTAGATGTGAGTCTAAAGTTCTACATTGTAATCAATAACTGCACACAATGCTACACCATAGCTGTTCTTATTTAATGCTGTTGATTTGTATATGTAAGCCCTTAAATTCACAATTATTAGCCCTCCTGTCATTTTTTTTATTATTATTTCCCAAATTATGTTTAAGTATGGAATTTTTCACAGTATTTCCTATAATATTTTTTCTTCTGGAGAAAGTCTTATTTGTTTTATTTTGGCTAGAATAAAAGCAGTTTTCAAATTTTTTAAAAGCATTTTAACGTCAATATTATTAGCCCAATAAGCAATATTTTTTGTTGATTGTCTACAGAATAAGTCATTGTAAAAAAATCACTTGCCTAATTAACCTAATTAATGCCCAAAATGCCTAAACTAAGGCCCGCAGGCCAAAGTTGGCCCTTTTTTATCCTTTGATTTGACCCGCCAGAAAAAAAATGATTGGGAAAGATTGGGAAATGCCTTTAACAGAGATTCTCTTTTTATTTTAATAGCAACTTTTGTTTGTTTTATTATTAAGCAACAAAAAAACTAACTGAAATAAATGTTAAAATTAGATTATGTAAATTAATCAGATTTTTTTTTAATTACATACTGTCACTTAACGAACATGAGACAAAGCAGAAGTCATCAGCATGCAAATCATGGGGCAAACATGACAGTAAAGGGCCAAGAGGGAATTTGGCCAGGACATCGGGGTTACACTCCTACTCTTTAGGAGAAGTGCCATGGGATTTTTAATGACAACAGTGAGTCAGAACCTCACAGTTTAACGTCTTATCTGAAAGACTGCACCCACTGACAGTAGTGTCACCTTCACTATACTGGGGCAGTAGGACTCACACAGACTGCAAGTTGAGCGCCCCCTGCTGGCCTCACTAACACCACTTCCATCAGCAACTTAGTTTTACCATGTGGTCTCCTATCCAGTTTCTGACCAGGCTCAGCCCTGCTTAGCTTCAGTGAGTAACTGGTCTTGGGTCAGCTACAGCAACAACAAAAACAGGAAAAATCTAGAACTCTTAAATCAAACCTAAATGTTTCTACCCCCTTCTAAGCACCATCCCTCTTATATGGCAAAAAATTTAATCAAAACACAATCTTTTTCAAAACCATGCATGCTCTGGGAAATAAATGAAAAA